TTTGGGAATAATGAGGGCAACAAATGTATAGATGTGCTTTACACAATTGATCTATGTATTGTGATGAATTGTATGAGCCCCAATAAATTGATTTAAAAAAAAGAAATAGGTGAAGGCTGTAGAAATGGGTTACCAACTGGCCCTGTATCAGAGGTGATCACTATTGTCTGGCTGGGCAGGAGACTGGAGCACAGGTTGCTGGCAGGCAGATCTGACCTTTGTATCGCCAGTGAGTGGAGTGATGCCAATCTGCTGGCCATGTGGAGAGGTGGAAGGGGAGATAAGGATGCAGGCTCCCTGGACAGCAGGTTTTGGGGAGCTAGCGCAGACTGGTCTTTCCTTTAAGATGAAAAACAAAGACACACACATGTCGTGTCTGAAGCTTTGGGAAGGCTGTGTCAGGGACGGGCCCCAGGATCCTTTGTTCAGTTCCTGCTGTTATGTGCCTTTGACTCCTTTCTGACTCAGGCACCCGCTGTACCACAGAGCAAGGTCCTGTCCAGTCTGCGCCATCTTCACAAGCATTGTTATGTTGCAGCCCGTTGTTGCAGCTACGGTGTCAATCCATCTTGTTGAGATTTTCCCCCCCTCTTTTGCTGACTCTCCATTTTATCAAGCATGATATATTTTTCCGGGATCTGGTTTCTCCTGATAACATGTTGCAAAGTACATAAGACCAAGTTTGTTCCCCTCCCATCTAAGAAGCATTCAGGCTGTACTTGCAAGATAAATTTGTTCATTCTTCTAACCAAAAGTCAAATCAAAAAAACAAACCAATCCAAAATCACTGGCATCAAGTTGGTTCCTACTCAGTCTTTATGGCAGCATTTAGTGGGTTTGAACTTCGGGTTAGCCGTCCAAGGGTATGTACAATATTTTTAAAGAAAATCATAATTCAAATGTCAAGTGCAACAACATTTCATCAGCCTTCTTTATTTATAGTCTCGCTTTCTCGTGCACATCAAAACACCACATCTTGTGTTACATGTGCCTTAATCCTTAAAGTACCATCTTTGCTTTTTAATACAGTGTGCTAGTTACATAATCTGGTGTCAATTTGGGACTTGAGGGGATTAAGAGTGAAGGGCTGGAGTCTAGTATGTCAATTGGGTCATAG